AGAAAAGTGCAACAATGAATGAATGGAAATCCAAAGTCTCTATAAATTTTCATTCAAATTAATAATAAATTTAAATAAAAAAGAATCTAGATGTTCTCCTCAGTCATTCCACAGAAGGCAATGAATTAAAAAAAAATCCAAAAAAGAAGAAAATTTGGCAAATTAGAATTTATACTTTGATTCACTAGTTCAAGATTTGTATTTATATCATTAACAAATACAAATCTCTCTAATATCCCAAAGAGCCTCACCCACATATTCTCTTCCCTCCTTACTCAGGTCTAAAATCCAAATGCAGAATTAAAGTAGTTGAAAATGTAGACACTGAATCTCCTAATCAGGGTGACTTGTGGACATCAATCTTGGTCTCAAATTTTCAAGGGACACCTCAGTCTGAGCACAATTTCAACTCGGCCAGCCAGGAACTCTAATTTTTTTCAAGGCCCCCAACACAGCATGAATAAGAACTGGCCCTCACCTAATTCCAGCTCCGTGTCAGGTTCCTCTTTGATGATGTGGTTCAGTTGCTCCTCAGGCCCTGAAGCTGAATTCTGAAATCCCAGCTCCTGAGGCACCTCTTCAAGACTGGCCTCTGTCTCTTTCACTTGGCAGCTTGCAGGTACCACCTTCTCAGGTAAGCTTTCCTGTCCCAGAACCTGGCTGGTGATCTAAAGATCATATATTACTAGTTACTGAAGAATGCTGACTTGGTTGGGATTCCTGAAAACATGAAGTGAATCTTCTACAATAGATTACAGGATAGTCATTCAGAATAGGTAATAAGGAAGAAGAAACCCAGCTTCATTTTCTCATTCAGCAGGTACTTCCAGCTATTGACAGAAATACCAAGAGAGGCCAGCTGCTGACAATAAACTAGGCCTGCAAGACAGTCAAGATAGGCTTCTATTACAGGGTTTCAACTGGACAGGCTTTACCAATTAAAAGTTAAACAAATGCAAACATTCTAGTGTCAGCTTAGAACGGAACAAGAGGTTATATCTTCAAGTCATAACAGCTAGAATGCAGACAGTTATTAACATAAAAAGGAAAATAAAACAAAGCAGCTGTGGAAAGGTTCATTCCAACTCAAAGCAACACCATGAATAGAGCAGCTCTTTAGGGTTTTCTTGCCATAATCTTCATGGAAAGTATGACAAGCTCTTTCTTCTAATGGTGACACTAGGTAGGTTCAAACCACCAACCTTATGGTTAGTAGTCAAGTACAAACCATTTGCACCATCCAAGGATGGGGCAGGAGGACACCCAAACAGGATCCTAGATCTCAATACCCTCTGCTTACCCACTGCCACAGTCTCTGTGGCTCGCCCTTCAAGCTCTCCACTAGCATCACAGCCTCCTCTCCACTGCTAGGACGCTGTGTGCGCACCCACATCTGGATCTCCCTGGGCAGGATGGTCAGGAACTGCTCCAACATGAGGAGCTCCAGGATCTGCTCTTTGCTGTGAACTTCTGGCTGCAGCCACTGGAAACAGAGCTTCTGAAGTTGCCTCAGGGTCTCGCGGGGCCCAGACAGCACCTGGTACTGAAAGCGTCTGAAAAGCTTCCGGGCAGTTTCAGGGCTGGAGAGTTCCCCTGGAGGGGCAACATCTGGTACGGGGAGTGGAGGGTCCTCTGCGTTTTCCAGTGGTGGCATCTGGACCAGGGCCTCTCTCAGCTCTAGTGGCATAATCAAGCTTGACAAGTTCTTTCACATCAGCAATGTCCTTCTGTATTGAACAGTGCTCTGGGGAAAACTACATCTTCTTGCAGAAACACTGGGAATGGAAGGAGACCAGTGATGCACAGAAAATAATATGGTATTAGAAAGAAATTCATATGGCCCAATGAGAATCTTGGACTTAACCAGTAACCTCTGAAACTGCCCAAGGATTGACAAAAAGAAAAAAAGTTGGCACTGAGACGCCTTCCACTCATGAGGATCCAATGTTTCTTGTAGTGGAGTTGTGCTCCACAGTGCTGTCAAGGGCTGGCTAGTTATCTATCACTGGGTCTTTCTCTCAAGACATTACTGGGTACATAAGACTTCCCACCTGTATGTACGTCAACAGCAGAAGGTTTTACTATTCACACCACCCACAGACTCAACAGCAGAAGGTTTTACTATTCACACCACCCACAGACTCAAAGGATGTATTTTTCTGTTAGGAAACAATGTAAGCTTGTAGCCTAAGAGCAAACCATGGACACCATATCTAAAATGCCACCACCACCCTGTTGTCTTTACAAAACTCTTGATTGGTCTTCAAATGCCCACACCAAGTAGAAGAAAGTCAGCCGCCTCACTATTTCACTACGGGCTTCCAAAGAAATAAATTCCAGTTAACTCTTGGGTATCTAGAGCTGTCCATTTGGAGACTGAAAAGCAAAGCTGGATAAATACACCAATACCCTACAAAGAAATTGTCATGATGATTCTAGAATTAATATAAGGTTGAAGAGAACAAAACAACCCTTTCCAAAAGGTGCAATGAATTCCCAAGTGTGGCTCTCTTTTTAGTGACATGTTGGGAAGTGGTTTCTTTGGGAAATGATGATAAATCTGTTTGTTACACAGTTTTAACCTTGGGCTCAAAGGATGTTTGGAACAAATACTGTCTACCTGAAAATACACCTATTGCCTTGAACTTAGGAACCACTACTTTATGGATAATATTATCAAATGATCCAAGACTTCAATAAAAATAGAGAAATAAAAAATAATAAAATTAAAGTTGTATACCTTCTGATGATGTTTTAAGGAGAATCACTTGGACATTTTGATGCACTTCTCTCAGTGAACTAGTAGATCTAAAAAGGGGGGGCAATCAATTAGGATATGGAAAACATAAATAGCACAACTTGTAGTTGCTGTCTTTGTCTTACTGAAAATTTCCTAACCACTAAGTCCAGTAAATGCAGAAAACACATTCAACTGTACATAACAACACTCTAAAAGACAGATGAAATGCACATTAAAGATAAAATATTGGGATTTTATAGCATATTTTCTGACATTATAATGCAATTACATTATAACTCAGTAACATATCGCAAAATATAGAAATTATAACACTCTAATTTAGACTCGTTATTGTTGCATCAACGGTTTGCCTCCAGAAACTCTACGAACTTGGAGAAATGATGAAAGTTATACAAGTCTTTCGTTTCAGGTCTTTCGTTCATAGGGTCGTTATGAGTCATCTATGGCTCGATGTCACTTAACAACAACAACGCAGACTCAAAAAGGAAATAAAAAAGTAAAATGAAAGCTCAAAAATATATAAATTTGTGAGATGCAAGTAAAGTTTAGATGGACTGTTGTTGTTCTTGGTGCCCTGAGTTGGAAACGATCCAAGGCAGTTTTCAGGGGCAGTAAATTGCGTGGGAGGGTCTACATCCTTCTCTCATAGAATAGCTCTTATATGTATAGCTTTAAATAAATGTGGTGGTTCTTAGGTGCCTTTCGCGGACCCGAGAGAGAGCAGAAGAGAAGCGATGACAGTTGCACCGAAGCCCAGAACCACACACTCACCTCACCGTGGCCACCTCGCACTTCCGGGAGCAACAGCGCACGCGCGGATCAGGGCCAGGACGCCAGAAAGAGATCAAGGCTGGGATTGGCTGCTCGAGCACCCGCCCAGCACCACCTCACCACCCCAAGCGTTCACGTTGGGGGAGGCCAGTTGCTGTCTTGTTATGAGCTGCATTTCATGTGTAAATTCATGATTTCTGGTATCAACGGCTTCTCCTCTGTTCACTATCTTAGTGGAACAGTGGTGGGCCAGGCTACTCAGGCACAGAATAGGACAGAGTTCAGATCTGTTGTTCATAGGGTAGCTATGAGTCCTACTGGACTTTTTGCCAACAACGACATTTATTTAAAGCTGTATCTTTTTAAGCTAAGAGCTCTGGTGACCTACTGGTTTGAAGCTGCACTGCATTCCCTAAGACAGATGTGAATTCACCAGGGGCTGAGAGAATGATGTGAAGTCTCCCAGGCCTTTGAAAACCTGCTGGAGGGTCGGACTCCACAGCACACATCAGCAATCCCTCTTAATAGAGCTTTAATTGAATCTAATAAATTTTTATATTTACAAGTTTTCCTTGTACTTTGATTTCCTTATTAAGCCTGCATTATTAGAGTGTTCAATATGTTGTTGAATTATAATGTAATTGCATTGTAGTTAGAGAAAATATGCTAATAAGATCCTAAGATTTGATATTACACATTTCTTCCGTTTTGTTGAACGTGATTTCTATAGTTTCTGGGCTTCTTCTTGTTATGTTCTATCTAGTTGCCTGTGACTCATAACGACCCTATGTACAACAAACAGCTCTGAACCCTGCTGTATTTTGAGCCAATTTCATTGTCTCTGACATACCTACCTCAATTACCCTAGTCGTTGAGTCAATATCTCATCCAGGGTCTTCCTCTCTTGGGCTCTCCCTCCATCCTTCCAACCAAAGCATCCTTCTCTATGGCCTCATTCCCTCCTCGCAACATGCCCAATATATGTCACACAGAGCTTCAGAATCCTTGCCTCCAAGGAGCAGCCTGGTTTCAAACCCTCTCCAGGACAGACTTGTTTTTTCTCTTAGCAGTCCATGGTATATTCAATACTCTTCTCCAGCACCTCAACTCAAAGTCATTGATTCTTCTTTTATCATCCTTAGTCATTGCCCAGTTCTCTGATGTAGCAAGTAATTGTGAAGACCATGGGATCAGGCACACCTTAGTCTCTAGACTAATACCACTGCTTATCAGTGTTCTAGAGAGGTCCCTGACAGCAGAGTTTCCCAATACAGTTCATCTTTTGATTTCCTGGCTACTGGTATCAAGAGTGTTGATTGTGGAGCAAAGCAAGTTGAAGCTGTTGACAATTTCAATCTCTTTTCTATTATGAGGCTACCAATTAACACATTGTTGAGAATAATTTTTTTTCCTTGATGTCGTTCTTAAATTCTTATTGAAGGCTGCAGTCCTTGGCCCTCTGCAGCAAATGCCTCAGGTTCGCTTCAGTTTCAGCAAGCAAGATTGTGTCATTCATCTGCAAAACACAGGTTGTTGATGAATCTTTCTCCAAACCTGATACCAAATTCCCCCTCATAGAGCTCCCCCCTCCCAGATGATGTGTTCTGCATATATTGAAAAGGTATGGAGATACATGCTATGCATTAGAAAGTTGGCAAGTGAATAGGGATGACAGAAAGAGAATTGATGCCTTTGAGCTGTGGTACTGGAGAAGAGTGTTGAATATACCATGGACTGCTAGGAGAAGAAACAGGTTTGTCCTGGAGAGGGTGAAGCTGGAATGCTCCTTGGAGTCAAGGATTCTGAAGCTTTGTCTGACATACTATGGGCATGTTGCAAGGAGGTACTGGTCTTGGAGAGGGGCATCATGCTTGGGAGAGTGGAGTGACGGCGCAGGAGAGGAAGACCCTTGATGAGATGGATCGATTCTGTGAGTGGAGTGGTGGGAATGAGTATGTTTGAGACAGTGAAGTTGGCACAGGAAAGAACGGCATTTAGGGCTCTTGTACATAGTGTCGCTATGAGTCGTTAGCGACTTAATGGCACATAACAACAACAACAACATGGAGATAGGATGTCTCCATGGCATACACCTTTCCTAATTTTGAACCATGCGGTGTTTCCTTGCTCTGTTCTGATATCTTGCCTCCTGGTCCAAGTATAGATTTTGCATAAGCACAATCAAGTGCTCTGGGATCCCCATTTTTCTCAAAGTCAGCCACAGTTTGTTGTGATCCACACAGTCAAATGCCTTTGAATAGTCAATGAAACATAGACGTTCCTTCAGTACCCACTGCTTTAAGCTAAGATCCATCTAACAATGGCTATAATGTCTCTAGGGCTAAGGCCTCTTCTAAATCCAGCCTGAACATCTGGACGTTCTCTGTTGATGAGCTACTCCAGTCGTTTTTGGATAATTTTCAGCAGGATCTTGCTTGTATGTAATATTAATTATATTGTTTGATAATTTCCACAATCCATTGGGTCATTTTTTTTTTCTCAATGAGAACAAACATGGATCTCTTTCAATCAGTTGGCTAGGTCCTCGTCCTACAGATTTCTTGGCACAGCCTGGTGAGCACGTACAGGGCAGCATTTATTTGTTGAAATGTATCAATTGGTATGCTATCAATTCCTGAGGCCTTGCTTTTTGCCAATTCATTCAGAACAGCCTGACTTTCCTCTTTCATCACCATAGATTCTTGATTATATGTTGTTTCATGAAATCGCAGCTCTGTTCACAATAGCAAGGAGTTGGAAATAACCCAGGTGCCCATAACAAACGAATGGGTAGAGAAGTTGTGATATATTCACACAATGGAATACTATGCTGCATTGAAAAACAAGGAACTCGTTCAGTATTATTCAAAATGGGTGAGCCTGGAGGACATTATGCTGAGTGAAATATCTCAGTCGCAAAAGGACAAATATTGCATGGTGCCACTGCTGTAAAATGGGACTGATATCAGGGTGGGGGTAAGACTGAGAAAAACTGGATAAATTGTGTATACTGCACTGAAACAGATGAGGGACTGAACAATTTAAAAGCGATGTATGATAGGGTATTATGGTTATCACAAGAGTCCACAATTAAGGTTGCATAGTGGAATGTACTTGGGGTGGTGGGAGGGGTGCGGGGGGATTGTGTACCAGGG